ACAGGAATCAATCAGTAAAGTCAGGTCAAGTGTGGTAAGTTGTTTTCATGTTCAAAGGGTAATCTATTGTGAGAGGTTATTCTTGGCATCTCTCATGATCAACTTCGCATGGAAGGTAGATCCTCATGGCCAGGGGGAAAACTCAAGTTCTAGAAGCACTTTCTTGTGTGTGACTGTTTTTACTGGATTATGCCATGAGTTACCAGTTATGCTATTAGTTACACTGAGTGAGCAGGTTCAAGAGAGAAAATGACATTGAGGTGTACAAATGTAAATTTGCAAAGACCTAACTCTCAATGTACTTTTGAAAGGTTAAAAAATCTCTTGCTCCATAAGAAAAAAGCAATAGTAGGTTCACAGTCTTCTAATAACATTTGTACATCTGTAAGTCTTCCTCAACACTTGTAGATTTATACTTATTTCCGCAAATTCAGGCATATGCAATCTCAGCCATAGCATATTGGGACTGGCCTGAAGCTTGGCCACATTTGTTTGTGAATCTGATGCAAGCATTGACAAGTGGGGATGGCAATTTGGTTCATGGAGCCATGAGAGTTTTAACAGGTATGAAAAACTGTACTTCACTATTAAAGCTTACTAGGGGTGAAGGAACAACTACTGGAAAATGGAAGCTTTTGAAATGGTGTAATCCTTCTGACTTGTTCAAATAGTGGTTAACACTTTCACTCCCAATATTGTAATATCCATTTTCCCCACTGTTTGTCATACATTATTTTCTTATAACTTTCTCATCACCTTTCTGCTGGATATTGTATGGATATTGTTAGGAGAAGTTTGTCTTTGGTCACACCTGGGAGTGAAAAGGTTAGGAAAACCTAAGGTCAAATGCCCCTTATGTTCAAGGAATGTGCACTGTGAAGTATGAGACTGTAATTTGAGAGTTAGGAAAGTTTAAATTGTAGATTTTGAAATAGAGAGAAATGCATATTTGTAATGCACTTGCATAATTTTGGATGTCCATTGTAAGTATTGTTGTCTAGCCTGTTAGGGGTTTCTATTAAGTCTCACTTATTTCTGAGAAGCAGTGTAAAGTGTTTGTGAATCTATCCTCAGAGTTCTGCCGTGAGGTGACAGACACACAGATGCCTCATGTTGCGCCTGTGATCCTGCCTGAAATGTACAAGATATTCATTCATGCAGAGGTATGTTGGTGGAAATTGTGCACTGTCTGTTCAAATACAGTTGAAGATTGAAATTTTGTTGAGGTCTGCATACCTGTATCAACCTCTGAACATGGTGTGGTGTGGTCATTTGTATTTCAATCTTTTTTTCGTAGAAGTACAGTATCAGAACAAGATCCCGCGCTGCAGATATATTTAATACTTGTGCATCGCTAATCTGTGCAATGGAAGAAGATGCAATGGTGAGATCATTTGCCACTTTAGGAAATTGGGTTTAAGATTATTCTTTTTTTTTTTTTGCCTTCTTGTGGGATTTTAAAAGGAATGCTGGTTACCAGAATTTCACTTGTTAATTTTAAATTGATTTATTCTTATTTCTGAACGAAATTTAACCTTTACTCTTGGTTAGACTCTTCCTCTCCTAAGGGGGGTGGAAGGGGTGAAGAGTGGCATTAGGTAATTTTGAGGTCTTGGAATCATCCAGATTTTTTAATGAACCCAAAGTTGTTCACTGGGAGTAGGGAGCTGGTTCTTGGGAAACCCTTTTTGGGTAGGGGTGGGGGGGTAGGCAGATAGTTTGTTCCTGTTGTTGTCAGAAGAGGTTCAATTTCTACTTGACATGAATGTGTATTGATTTACCAGAGTGTGTTGAGCACTAAATGTTCTTACCTCTGGTAATGCTTTGGTATTTATTGTGATATGGAAGCAGACAGACTGCAAATTTTGCATGCAAGCAGTGGTATTGCAATTTTGTTTGTTATTCATTTAAGAAGTTGGTCAATATTTTTAACAAGTTCTCATTACAGGGTATTGCCAAGGATGTCCTCTTTCCTCTTCTTCCACAATTCACCCAAGCATTTGTTGAAGTTCTGGCAATGTCTGATAGTCCCACAGTTGATTGTGGCTTGAAGATGGAAGTGCTTAAAGTTAGTTTTTAACTAGTCTGTTTTTATATTGAAAACTTTCTTCTGTGTTCATTGTATGGATTGCTTGCTTATTCCTTGTTTCATGGCATCCTGGCTTCCTTTTGTAATTACACAATACATAATGCCTTTGGCTGTGAGTGAATGTGAGAGTGTAGGCCTGCAATGCATGCATGAATTGAATTTATCGTTAATATCATATCATTGTCTTGTGCTATACATACTTGGTGCAATGGATAAACCTCCTTAAGAGCCAAGAAAGTAAAATGTTACCGTCATGGTAGCATCAATCTTCTTTTGTCTTTTTTGTTTTGTTCTTTTATTTCCTTTTTCATTTTTTTTTCTTTTTCAAAATTTATATTCTTCTTCAAAGCATATGAATTTCTCATACCATCCAGAAAGTCACCATTTTCTTGGTGCGGTCATTGGCATTCAAGAAGTCAATTACCAAAGCACAGCTTTTTTATTTACCTTTCCTGCCCAGAAAATGACACACATCAATCCCAAAGATGCCAATTCCAAGAAGTGCATAAAAGATTCTGAATTACCATTTCCTTTCTTTTTGTCAATTAGGCATTAACGACATTGGTTAAGAACTACACCAAACAAATGGCACCACACTTAATGCAGATTCTTCCTCACATGTGGAATACATTGACTCAGAGTGCTGATCGATATGTCCGCACAGTTGTAAATTACACTGATGATGCAGATGACCCTGTGGATTCTGATGGTGAGTTAATTCTACAATTGATTGAAAAACAATTATTGCGCTGAAAGAAAATCAGTTTGTGCAACATTACATCTTCTTACAATCACCACTTTTTTTCTTCTCGTATTTCAGGAGAAGTGTTGGGATTTGAGAATCTTGTTTTCAGTGTTTTTGAGTTTATCCATGGACTTATAGAAACACCAAAATTCAAGAAAACTGTCAAGAAGTTTTTAGATGAACTTATTTATTTCTTGGTGTTGTACATGCAAATCACAGAGGAGCAGGTGGGTTTTGTTTTCCGTTGTTTCTTTTCTTTCCAGCCTATTATCTCTCGTGTATATTGCACTCACATTTCCATCAACCGGTAGCTTTCAGATACTTGGCTCATTGACCAAACAATAAATTTTTTCGCTGTTATTTTACGTACAGGTTCAAGTGTGGACATCTAATCCTAATCAATTTGTTGAAGATGAGGACGATGATACATTTTCGTTTTCTGTTCGCATTGCGGCTCAAGATGTTCTCTTGGTAAGTGAATGGAACAGCTTCGGCCTTCAATTCACACCTTTAGTATTAGTACGCACGCCGTTTTCTTATGGGGCTCACTTATTATGTTGCAATTGGCTGATCGTCTGTAATTTACCCGCACATCACACTAAATTGCATTAGATTCAAATACACCCATTTGTGTGGTTGAAGCGCGTAAATTGGATGCAGTCACGAAACACAAGCGCGTCAGTATGCGCTTGTAATAATTTTATAAACGTGTCCAGGTCTGTATGGGTAACGCGCATTTTTTGCCCGCGTGAAGATTAACCAGGGGTCTGGCACAAATAACTATTGGTGCCGGACCCTTTGCCGACCTCTCGCCGGCTCGTGTTGCCCAAGGCCTCGTACTTTCCGGCGGGCAAACAGACGAAACGCTGACAATGAGGGTGTGCCCGTAGGCGCGAGTCAACACCTACCCCCCAATTACCCTCGGCCTTTGTGCGGCTAATTCTATCGTTGAGTGGTTTCGAGGAATTGTAACAAATTTTTGCATAGTCCTCATTTGATATTTTGTAGGCAGTTGCTGCTGACTTTAAAAATGAAAGTGCAGTCGCATTGACAAAAGCACTCAACAGACATCTACAGGAATCAAATGAAAGAAAAAGCAAAGGAGATGTTAATTGGTAAGTGAGACGAAGTTTAGCCGAGTCAAGTTATCTGTGTGTTCCTCTTACCTCGAATGGTGGTTGTGAATAAAAGACAGTCATGGCTTACTATAATGCCTATTTTTTAGCGTTGCTTGAGTGCACACAAGCGGAGGCTTTTTACCTAAGAAAATATGATTACCAAAAATATGCTGAAGAATTTTTTGTCATGAGATGCGTCTGATCCGCACGAATTTCTGGTTGCCTGACTGGCTAAAAGATAGTTATGGTGCACTATAATACCCTAGTCTTAGCGTAGCTTGAGTGCATTTAAGCGGAGCCTTTACACTTAGGAAAAGATGCTAATCTATTAAACTAGGAAATTTATGGTCATGAAATGCGTTTGACCGTCCTTACGGATTTCTGACCGATAGGAAAATAATTGCCCTCGAAATTACTCCGTGGCTAAAAATTAACCCACTAAAGCTCCACTCTTGGGTTTGGTTAAATCCATGTTTTTATAAAATTTATTTTCTTCAGGTGGAAAATACACGAGTCGTGCATGTTGGCAATGGGTTGTATTAAATCACTTATTATTGACAAAGTCTCCAATGGCAAGGTTTCTATAGATATGGCGTCATTTCTCACCCAGGTTGTGCTAACAGACCTTCAGGAATCAGGTGAATACTCGATTTATTTTGAGAAGCGAGACTGTTAAAAGAGAAATTATGGGATTCGGATGATATAAAGCAATTAATATCAAAAATAGCTTGTGGTTTTTCATCGTGGTAAATAACACATTCAAAGGAGAATTATAATCGTTTGTCTCACGATGTGGATCGCGACGTCTCGACGACATACTGCTAGTCTTCTTCACGTGATTATACGTCCTTTGAAAGTAAATAGCAATTATTTGCAGGTCTTTGCACCCTATCAAATTACCTAAGAACTTGGAAAAAAGCTGGGGAAACCGAAATTGAGCTTTGAAATTTGCAATAGTAGCAACTGCTTTATCTCTAAAATGTGCTTTAATCCTACTCCCCCATATTCAAAGTATTATCAAGGTGTTAAGACCAACGACCAACTTTGATTCTGAGGTGGAAAGGGGTAAAGTTACAAAAATATTTTTGGCGTGGAAAATGTTGCAGTGATAATTAAATGAAATGGCTCACAGAACATGATGCAACAAAAGCAATTAATTCCCAAATCACTTTCGAGTAGGTATCTACGAGAAAACAGCTTTTAGTTTTTTTTTTTTTTGAGTTCTTGAAACTTCCTGGCCTCTCACGAGTTTCGAGAAGCCACCAAAAATTTCCTGCCGCCCTAAATGCGCGAACGGAGGTTTGGGGTCCTTCGAGGAGTAAAGCCGAAGCAAAACTTTGAAATTTACTCTGTAAAGGAAAGGTAAAGTTGTTTTTGAAGAAAAATTTTATTCGAAGTGTTTTCTTCCTGTTATCTCTCAGTATCGCCTTTCCTCATCGGTCAAGCGTTATGGGTGGCAAGTCGTTTTACTCCTCTAATGTCTCAAGAACTTTTAACAAGGTAAGATGACTAATGCAGAGTAAATTTCTCCAAAGAATTGACGTTTTTTTGTCAGAATCTTCTTGAGCTCAGTGACATTAATTTTCTAAGCATCCAAAGTATTTCCTCAGAACATTAGCAGCTCATAGACTAATAGGCTTACTCTACAATTATAAAACGAAAAAACAATTTTCATTTCAATGTTTTGTGTGCAAGGTCCCCTCTCTTTTGATATTACAAGTCGTATATCTTTGAGCTCTGAACCCGTTACCATTTCTCATGTTTAGCTTCATCGAAGCATCCGTCACGGGTCTTCAGTCAGCACAGTTACCTGCAGTTCGAATATCAGCTGTTAGAGCTATTTATGAGTAAGTAAACCATTTTTTCTTCTTTTTGATTTATCATTCTTTTATTGAAGTCAAGAAATCGTTGGTTAGTGTCGACAAACACCACTAACGTAAAAAAGGCGAGGAGGCTAGAGGATACCAGTCACATGCTCCCAAAAACTTGGTTTCAGAAAGTCATGACCCAAGGTGCAGAATTCTAAACTGGGAGGAATTTTATATCACACTAAAGGGCCAAAATGCAGATTAGCTTTTTGAACTTTGCACCGGCCAACTTAGTTTTAAAAGTAGAGCCAATAAAATACTAACCACTGAGATGTTTCTTTTAACCCTTAACTCCCAAGATCTGATTGTTAATTCTCCCTTCTAGCTGATACAGATTTCCTTGTAAATTAGTTATGAGAACTTGGTGTTAGATCAAGATAACAACTTCTACCTGATACGTTTGAGTATTCTCATTACCTATTTGCTGGACTAAGTATGGATATTATAGGGAGAACTTACATGTTTATCACTTCCGAGAGTTAAAGGGTTAAGCTTTGACGTCGTTTGTCGTCAAGTAGTCTTGTAGCCCTGTTTGTTATAGACTGAATTTTTGTGAATTTTTGCAGATTCTGTGCCCATCTTAAGATGTCAAATAATACTCAGATCCTAACGCCTTACCTTGTCAAGATTATGGAAGGGTTACTAACCATGGCGACTCAAACGACAGACGATGTGCTGGCTCTCGTTCTCGAGTCTCTTAGAATAGTCATGTCGGTAAGATGATGGCTCAGGTTTGTTTTGTTGGAGCGATTTTCAATTGAGTGTCGAAAGTAATTGGGAATCGTATTGTTCATGCTCCACTGCGGTTTGCGATTGGTTTCTAAAATTTGCCACACCCTCTCGACCAATCAGATCTAAATCTAAAACAAGACGCGACTTGGTTAATTGCCTTTTCTAGCGTTTTGTAGCTTATGTGTTGCCGAACCCTCCCATCCCCTAAGGAGTTTCTCCTGGTGGGGGGGGGGGAGGGTACGGCTACACGTAGGCTAGCGTTTTGGAGTCCTTATTGGCGGCTCTTTGTGATTTGTTCTTCTATTTTGATTGGCTGTCAATAGTTGTCGATGCTAAGCATCTGTCATTAGTGATGAATACTGCTTGCTTTCAGGTTAACAAGGAATTTACAACGTCTTGTGAAGGAAAAATAACACCGCTGACGATAGCGCTCTTTATTAAGTATGCTCACGGTAAGTGTGAGTGATAATGAAAAAATTGAAAACAGAAAACTAAGTTCTCGCGCCTGACTTATCTCACTAGTCAAAGATGCTCGCATGAGATTTTGCATTGACTTGTTATCAATTTGTACTTGTTTCTCAAGAGTATGATGACGCTATAACTACATTATAATCACATAAAACTATTGGAATTTTTCAAAAGAAATGCTGTTCCCAGGATTTTTCTGTACACAACGTAATATTTACACAGCTATTCAGGCGAAGCTCTGCACACAATAAGTCCCGAGATTACAAACGCCCCTTCGTGTCCTGTGTTGAGAGTCAATCCAAATACCCCGCCACTTCGGTGTTAACTTTGTCTTTGTTTTCAGATGCGGCTCTTATTCCGTTGATAGAGGACTTATTCAAAGAACTTGCCATGATAGAGGCTTGTAACAAGGTAATTCTTTTACTTCCATAAAAGCTTCAAATTTAACAACCAGGTTCTAAGTAGGGGAAAAAAGCGCAAGGACTGTTAGGGAGTGTGACCTAAATGGGCTGCGACATGCACAAAGAAGGCAGAGCCTACCAACACTCAAATGCAGACGAATCCTCCAATATCTGACAGGAAATCGGACAAAGCCGCTGGAAATACGAAGGATCTGACCGGAATCATACGGAACTGTGCAAAATAAGACAACTTCCTTCGATATCAGACGGAATCAGACCTAACTGTCTGATTTCAGACGGCACATCTAGACATCGAACAGAAATGTCTGAAATCAGAAGTAACCTCTAGAAATTAGACAGAACTGTCCAAAATCAGACGAAACCGTTCGAAATCAGACGGAACGGTCTGAATCAGACGAAACTGTCCGTAAATAAGACGAAATGATCCGAAATCAGACGAAACCGTACGAAGTCAAACGTAACTGTCCGAAATCAGACAGAACTGTTCGAAAAAGGGAGAAAAACATCCGACATTAAACGAAATCATCCGAACGAGGACCGAACAGGAGTCCTTTTATGCTTGACGTAGTTCTCGTGCTATTTCTTTGAATCTTTACTTGTTTACTCCTCTGTTCATTCTTAACAAAATTCTCTCTCTTTTTTTTCTTTTCTAGCTTTTACAACAGAGGTTTCTGCCGACTTTAATAAGTATTTTTCAAGCACCGCCAGAAAAGACACCTTTAGGAATAAATGCTGTAAGTTGAAAACACAGAAACATTTGAAGTTAAGAACAAACTCGAACGAATTTTAGATATTGTTTTGTAATGTTTCGACAGCTTTCTTGTGTTCATTTTCCTCCCTCGATCCTGACAGGAAAAACGAAAACATAGCCGCCACTTTTCATTTTTCCTGCGTGAAAAAATCGATTAACCCTAAGAGTGACCAGCATCTTATTTCTCCTTACAGTTATACTGCTGAATCATTCACGACGATCATGACAATAAAGGACATGATCGCCGACCTAAGAAGCTTTGATTGTTAAACAAATTCTCCTAGTCAGCACCTTAGTAAATGTGTAGATAACAGTATGGAGAATATGCATGCTGATGTAAGAGGTAAAAGGTTACGAAACCAAAGAAAAAAGTTCCTCGCCTGTGATCGTACGTTGCACCTACCATTCATGTAACTCAATGTCGGTTAAACGTATTTCTTTAACCTGTTGCATTTCCACCTGTCGCTCGATGTCACTCGTCCGTATTTACTTCTTTGCAGGTCTGTATGGATATCCTATGTAACATCATTCGGTGCACACAGCCTCCCCTTTCCGATCTGCTACTGAACTCTGTGTTTCCTGTCGTTGTCAAAACAATACTCGGCTCTGATGACAATGCGGTGTTGCAGGTAATTTAGACACCACTTTTATTGCTCAACGTTGGTGTGTTTGCACACGGTTCGCACTTCATTAAAGAATATAACCTTAGCTAGTTGCAATCCTTATCAATATTCTGTATCTGGAACAGTTTTAGTGTCTTTTTCGGTTTCCTCTAGCCTCGTAGGTGTTTTTTTTTTTACCCTGGCAAATAAATATGTAAGGTTTTTAAAAATTAACCTTCATTTTCAGAGGCACAAAAACAACTCAGATTATTATTATGTGACGTAGCTTCATTAACGATGATTAATCAAGAATGAATAATTTTTCGCTACGAGGTGAATAGCCTCTCCCAATTCTTACACGCCTGCCTCTCCCCATTCTTACAAGCTTGCCTCTCCCCATTCTTACGAGCTTGTCTCTCCCCAATCTCACAAGCCTGCCTCTCCTCATTCTTTCGAGCTTGCCTCTTCCTATTCTCACAAGCCTGCCTCTCCCCAAATCACAAGCTTGCCTCTCCCCATTCTCACAAGCTTGCCTCTCCCCATACTCACAAGCTTGCCTCTCCCCATTCTTACAAACTTGCCTCTCCCCATTCTTACAAGATTGTCCTTCTGTTGGACTTTTTGATAAAGTTTTTAAAACGACAGCATATCTAAGTTTCTCTCGAACACAGTCTGTTCGTCAGAAACGAAAAGATCTGCATACTTGTATTTACACTTTGAACTCGCCAGTCGAGACGTTCGGGTTCGGATCGTAGCCCTTTTCATTTTGTTGTGTCCTTACGTCATACAAGATACTGAGGTTGGGGGGGAGGGGGTTGGCTTCTGATTTACAAGAAAATCCGACAGAAAGCCTAAAAGGTGACCTTTTATAACAACAGTATTATTATAACGAGGAATCGTACTATTCAAAAACTCAGTTCCCTTTGATTTGAACCATTTTTGCCTGAGTGCTGACTAAGAGTTTGAATATCTTCGTTTTTATTCTAGGGAGGCGGACAGTGCCTTCGTGCATTTGTCTACGTATCTCCTGAGCAGATGAGTGCTTGGTGAGTAACCATCACCCTCTCATTTTTCGTTGAAAATTACATTTCCTACAGTGATGAACTCAACTGTAGTGAGTTTTTTTTACAGACATTCTCGTTGGTAGAGACCTTCCCATAACGATCGCCTTGACAAAGCCTTCTAGTAAAACGAAACTCGATATGATCATCATGGCCAACCAGAATAAAGCACTTATTTCTTTATTATCTGGTGTACACGGACACTGTGCCGTAACCCGCTTACTTAAATGCGAACACCTTTATTTCTTTCAACTAAACCTTGAACTGTGCGTTTCTTTCTAATTTAATTTTGGTTTCCAGGCGGGATTCTCAAGGAAATAGCGCTATTTCCTACGTTGTTCGAGCAACTTCACACCTACTCGACCCCAGGGCTCCAGAGTTCACGGCCTCCTTTGTTGGTAGACTGGTGACTACTTTAATCAGTAAGGCAAGTGACAAAATCCCTCGTACTTGATGCGTTTGTGAATACATATTAAGGCAAACCTGTAAAACATTTTTAAATGCTCTTGACTGTTGGTTGATAAATATTCTACACTTTACTCACATTACAACTTGGAATTTTCTGTGGACGCACTTAAATCTCTTTAAATCACCAGACATAATTTTCCTCTTCTCATTGTAGGTCGGAAGTAACCTCGGGGACAACCTTGATTTGCTTTTAAGAGGAGTCCTTAGCAAACTTCAACAGGCAGAAACGTTAAGTATAATACAGGTGAGACACTTCATATGAAATTATTATCAACCAACAAAGTTTTTCGTTTCTGAAGGTTAGATTATTTTGTGGGTTATCTCAATCTATGAAGTTTCCCCTGTAGTGCGGAAGAAAGTTTCCTAGTAAACGTTGAAATTTTTTGTCTCAGCCAACCGCCTCCACTTGTGAATTACTTATTTTCGATGAAATCTTCTGCGTTAGAGCTCTCTCCAAGTTTGCTTTGTCTATCTTTTGGGAGTTCAGTCACGGTTCAATGGTAAATGAATTATCCTGATATATAAATACATACATATGTATACATATATATATATATATTTTTTTTTTTTTTTTTCTTTCAGTCACTGGTCCTTTCGTTTCTTCATTTAATGAACAGTCAGCTAGAAACGATCCTCAATTTTCTGAGTGGAGTCCCAGACCCAACTGGCAAGTCAGCGCTGGAGTATGTGGTCAGGATATGGTGTGCAAGACAACCCGAGTTCTTTGGCGTATATGACAGTAAAGTGAGGTAACTCAGAGGCAGAGTAGAGCGAGTGTCGCAGTGAAAAGCCAAAGTTAACACATTGTTCTATTAGAATTAAGGAAAGCATGCTAAGGAAGCGCTGCGAAAGAAAGGAAATGAGCCAACTGGCTAAAGCGCACGAAAATACGCGTGACCAAGTTGTTTAGTTTTTCATCTAATTGGTTGAGAGAATGGCGTTAGTTTTCTGACCAATCACAGAGCTGGGGTCGTGAGCTTTGTTACCATTTTCGCGTGGGTGCGCTTTTTTTGGTGTTACCTTACGGTATACCATATCATTTTACACGAAACGTACACGATGCCCAGTAATCAACTCCCTGTAAACACGCCGTTGAAATCAAAACTTGTTTGGAAGAGGAGTTGGTGAGGTGAGGAGAAACGTTTCGTCTGAAGTATTCAACTGTTTATCGATTCCTTTTTTTTTCTTTTTTTTTTTTTTTTAGTACTATGGCCCTTTGTAATGTACTACAGTTCTTCGTGAACACTGGTGACAAAAGACTTTCAAGTATCATTGTGAAAGGCGAGAGGATTTTTCAGCAAGATGAAGGTACCGACCTGTGCTCTTACTCTAATAAGCTGGTTACCCTGTGAGAGGCTCCTGCAGAGAGAGGGGAGTAATTTAAGATCAAACTTCAGGGTTCAATGTTTTACCAAATTTTATTTTCAGTCTAAGCGTTTGTCTTACTTCAATATTATGCCCATTTTTTATCGTTAGTGATTCTCAGTTCCAGAGACCTAAAAACCCATATTCCCCATGAGTGAAAACAAGGAATAAATATAAATCTTAGTTTTAATTTCAATCGCTCAGGTCCCCTCCTTAAACCTCCAAGACATGATTGACACTTCTCCCTTCCTGTGGCTATACATTTCATTTTGAATTAGTTAAGAGAATTTTTTACATTAAGCAAGAGAAATTCTCTTACATCAAGATAACACTCTCTCTGGGTTAAGTTTGCCCTTTTTTTTTCATCACCTGTTTGACGGACAATTTATTGAAAATGTGACAAGAAGCCCTATGATGATGACGTCTAGAGGCTGGGGATTGCATTGTAAATATGAGTTGCGAATGCGGATAAATGTCAGTATCTAAACAACTGCACACCTACCCTTCCCCTAACCCAGCAACAGTCGACTGATAACAAGTTGGGCTGGGGGAGGGGTAGGAGCGAAGTTGCTCAGATACTGGAATTGTGAGTACTATGCCTAGAGCTTATACCAATGGTGTGTCATATTAAACTCAAGAGGTTTCCTTTCTGTCTTTGTGGTAGGTATCCGAACAAGATCAAGAGCTGCCAAAGGTAGGTCACTGATAGCTTCACCCAGCTTTTTATGTGGTTGTCAATTATACACAATTTTGCATCCTTTTCTCAGCAACTTCCTGAAAATATTTTTTTTAAATGCCCTTATTTTCCCGCCAAAATTAAATCGGTCGGCGCGTATAACATTTTTCCCGCCCAAATAGTGCTAGTAGTTGTGTGGCGCATTTTAGTGTCAACTTGAGTCTATTGAGTACGCAGAACAATTTCCTGCCTTAAGTTAGTGGGACCTTGTTACTCTTTTGTTTGATTTTTAACATTACTTCTTGTGTCAGCTCCCGAGCAGTGGACATTGATCCCCGTTCCAGTCAAGCTCTTTAAATTAATCATCAATGAGCTGGGCACGTTACTGGAAAGTGCTACGGCGGGTGACGAGCATGAGGACGGGGACTCGGACGACGTAAGCATACGGGTTCCTTCCTTGATATAGAGCCTAGCTGCTCGCTCTATGAGACTTTTCTTTTTTTTGCGCAGTCTTTGACTCACACTTACTATAAACCACATCATAATTTTCTATGCGTGTATTTCTTCTCAATATTTACTTAATTATGACAGAGCTGTTTATTGATCGGTATTAAGCTGATAGTCCTGTTAACTCACTGTGCTTCGTTTGTCTCAAGGGAGAGGAGGGTTGGGAGGACGTGAATGATGAAGAAGAAGGCATCGATGCCTCTGGATCACCTTTTGCGCCTGCGTCGGATTACTTAGGTACGATCTTTTATTCATACCACAAGCAGCCCAACTTTACACAATAAGCGTCGGCAAACATAAAAGTACGTTTATTTTACACAATGGGCGAATACTGTGCTTTGATACAAGAATGAACGGTTGCACTCTTTACCCAAAAATCTGAAGTAGTTTTTTATCAAGAGAAACTCCCTTTAATTCTTTGTTTGTTCCTTTGAATATGGAGAGTTTTATAGGCTGGTTTAGGGCTCGTTTTAAACTGGCAACCTTTGAACACACCTTAGAATATAACACTCGTTCATGATTATTCCATGATTTACCCCGCGCTTAGCGAAAACAAATGTTCATGAAATTATCACGAATTTGTAAGTCGCCTGAATTTTGTTAGTCCTAATATCCACGCCAGAGCCCAGAAGTGGAAGCGATGGTTTTATTTCCGCGACGATTATTTTAGTCCCATTTTCTCATCACCTTCCAAACATTTTTGACGCGTGAGAAACAATAGCTTTTTATGTCGCACTCTGCAATTAAACTTCAACAAAGTCGGTATAATGGCCTTACAGATATAACCCAAAGTGACGAGATTCTGCCTTTTGACGACTACTTTTAACGTTAATTCTACGCTCATTGTATACGTTAGTAATCTTTGTGTCTAGTTATACCAAGTGTTCATATAAACTTCTTCCTGTTGTCTCCAAAAATTCTGTTTCCTCGCACAAGACGCGTCACTTTTTCTCATTTTAGCGCCTCCAATGCATTAATTTTGTTTATTCAAATTGAAGCAATTTCCTCCTCAGTTCGCGTTTATCTGAAAGCCCTCGTTTGTGGAGTCTGGTTGCTGCTGAGGAGGAGCAGAATACTGTAAATACGGACGGAAAATTGTTAATAGCCTGCGAAGAGGCCTTGATTATTAATAGAGAGCTTAAACACAAACGTTTTTGAGAGGCAGACGGAAGCCGGAGGTTAAAATATTCTCTTCATAGTGCTCACCACACTCTTTTTGGGTCGGCACAGTTTGATTTAAAATGCTAAAGCGACCACCTTACAGTCGCTGCATTGATCTCAAAGTGCGCAAGAATGAGTTTTATTCATCTTCCAGTAGCTGTCCAAGTCTCAAAAACGTCTCATCTTAAGTTCTCTATTAGCGTCGCAGAATGCGCGTTTCACCGCACGGGAGAAGATACGAGACGAGTCGGGAAGAGGTTTTCCCGGAGTCTGGCACTAATTTTTAGTAGTAGACCCCATGCAGATCTCCCTCCGGTTCGCCAAGCTCAAAGCCTCATTCTTTACTGCGGGCAAAGAAACGCCATGCAACGAGGGCCTGCTCGCTGGGTGAGATCTGAGTTCGTCTAGCATGACGTGTGGTGCACTTTACTGGTTTGTGTACATAAGAACAGCTGTCCTTGATTATCTTAAGCTTCTTATCATCCAGGTTTTGATCAAGAAGACTTTGAAGATGAAGATGATGATGACCCAGAGATAAAGAGTGATCCTATTTACACACTTGATTTACAGGTAAACTACTGATTATTTTATCCTTCTGCGATTTAACCTCCCGCTCTAAGATAAAAGATTAAAGATGACAAGTGCGAAAATTGACGCAAAGCGTCTTTATAAACAAACCCTTCACTTATCAAAATATTTATGCAATGGATACTTCTTTTTCGTGCCCGAAAAGAGCCCTATCAGTATGAGCAAAAGGGGTAAGTTTCCGAGAATCTGTGGTGCTGCGTCGGTGGGGTGTTTTTACAAGATAAATTCGTTGAGAATGTAAATTAACCACCGCGAAGAGTTGCTAAAGCTGACGTTTCGAGCGTCAGCCCTTCGTCAGAGCGAACGGGAGTTTGAGGCCGTATCACCGTATCAATTTTTGGTCACTCTGCACTGATTTCCTACATTTGTGTTAATTTCCAAGGGTCCATCTCGGCTTGATGCTCAGGAAATGTTTCATAACAACTCGCCATTCGTAACCTTTGATTCTTAAAATGCGTCTTTTTAACATGCCTGTTAAATCAACATTGGCATACTCTTGTTAGCCTGCTCGTTATTAGCACTGCCAGACGAGCGTTTCTCCGTCTCCGGGAAGATTTGAGACGAGTTGGAGAGGGGTTTTCCAGGGATCTGGCGCTAAAAATTTTCAGTACTAGACCGCTGGCAGATCTTTCGCCGATTCGCGTTGCTCAAAGCCTTTAACAACTTTCCCTAGACGAAAAAACGTTCGTGCCGATGCGCAATAATACCAAATTATCTGTTATATTCTTGTTGGTTTTTCATTTTGAGTGATTGGCCTCATCTCAATTTTCCTTTCACCCAGAGTCACTTGATCAAGTTTCTACAGACGTTCGCTCAACAACAGTGTTATCCGAGCTACTTACAAGCACTGAATGCACAGGAGCGACACACCTTATCCAAGATCGGAATTGCTTCGTAAAAAGCTGCAGGGGTTTCCTATTATAAAATACCCTCAGTCACAAGACAAGACAAGCAAGGAGAAAAATACTGCGTTGAAGCGTGACTTTCTACTGTTGTATCTGATATGTGACTGCGAACTTGCACAAAGGCGGGAAACGCGGTCCCTTCGGAGCTCAGAGTGAAAACTAAATGTGAACGGATTTGCAAATGAACTTCTAGGTAGCGGCTGAAAATACAGTAATATAAGACACGAATAATTTATTTGAGAAAAAGAGTGCGGTTTGGGGCGCAGAAAGCCGGATTCGCTGGAAGCAGCGATAGAGGAATTAGTGGTTAACTGAGCTCAAGCTTGCGCACCAGGTAATATTTCTTTTGGCAGGTAGAATTCTCGAGGCCGATCTAAATGTGTGAGAGGGAGTGTAGTTCGATGTTAATCTAGCAGAACGTCTGTGACATTGAACTGTTCGTAAAAAAATTCAAGTTTATTCGCGATTTTTAGAAAGTATTTGTAGAATGGAAACTTGAAAATATGCTGACAGATAATATCAAAATTACGGAGCCTTTTGAGCCTATGTTGGCGAGAGACTTTAAGAGGCTGGAGCTTTACACATTTCCTTCCTTTCATCTTACAGAGAAATATTTTTCCCCTTTTTTTTGTTTTTTGTTAAAGACTTAAAGCGGTGATATTGTGGAGCTCTAGTTGATATATTAGCTATATCCTTGTTGCTTAATCGGCGTAAAACTATCCACAGGTGGAAATGTTTGAAAAATGTTTTAAAAATGTTTTAAAAATGCTGAATATTTACCAAAGGACTTTTGTAGGGCAGAGAGGTTCTAGGAGATTTTCATGTGAACTGCTCTGTTTTGTTGCAAAAATGATCACCACCACTACAACTAGAATCAAAAGGATTAGAGGCAAACGATAAATGATACGTTAGCCCCGACAAATCAAAGTCCTGTGAAAAATAGCTACCTGAACGTATGCCCTTGGCAGTTGAAGAAATTTTCAGAATTTACGAGCGAAACTTCGCGTTATGTTTCCGGCCAAATCGCTGGCTTAACTGCGCTATTGCACATTTGTGATTCCCTGTTTGTAAATGGTATAGTGTAATTATAGGTAGGAATTTGTAAATAAAGAAGCTCGTTAAACCAATACGTCAAGGTTATTTTTTTGGTACAGGCCTTACTTCGTCCTTGTACTTCTTCAGACATCGAGCTCTTAAAATCGCGTTACTAAATGGATGCAGTACACTGACCCTCAGAGAAGTACGTCAAAGCTGCATATAGTTTTGCCTTCGGAGCTCGAGATAAGCGTTCAAGTTTTCGGCTTTCTTGCAGCTTTGTGTCGAGAAGACTTGCCTTTTACACACGCAAAGCCTAAAAGTGGTCCTTAACTAATATATCAATGGAAATATGATACTCGTCCGCTTAGTAGTAATACTTCTCAAAATAGCTCACAACGATCAACTTTAATTTGTAGTACAGCCTAAAATAAATATCTAGCAGCATTTGAAAATAAAGCTTTTCTCATGGAGACAAGAATCTTTCGTCTACAGTGCAAAACTGATGAGGCTCCGCCCGAGTTTCTACGAGCTACACTCAAACAGTGTCTGGAAATTTACCATCCGAAAGGATGTTTGGCTGGTGGTTTATGAGCTGAATACGGTTTTTTTTTTCGGTTTTCTAAGAGACTTTTTTTTACGTTAATACTGTGGTAAAAAGTAGGCAGTGACGTCGATGGTGTCACTCAGGAAACACCCACCCGCCAGATAGTCTGGGAAAAGTTTCGACCCCCCTGTCATTTTACGCAACACTTCAGTTTCATTTTCAGCAATACTTCAGTTTCTTTGAGCGTTTTAACCAGATCACCGAGGACAATTCACTCTTCAAAACACCTCAGCAGGAGCAATGTGTAAAAGGTACTTTATCTTGGGTATCGATTTCCTTTGACATTGTTATCTACGGTCTTTAAAACATTTGTTTTCTTTAACACTTTAATTGAGAAGTATCAGTTAGGAATCTGGATTGATTGATGGTATATTAAATACTCGCTAATCTCGGATTGAGGTCTTCTTTTCTGCGATTAATATCATATGATTGGCATTTTAAGGAAATGGTATCCTTTGTGGAGCTGTCATCAGTTGTGTTTTGAAACACTTTTCCTTTTACGTTGACAAGTGTTGAGTCCCTCCCACGTAGATTTGGAACACACTGTTTTAAGATGATATATCGTCGTTTCGATGCTTTCGTTAGATTTCTCTTCCTCGATCCACTTATTTGTTCTTCCGCACGGCTTCATTACTTATTCTTCCAAAAATGGAATCTGACGCGTTGCTTTACGAAATTGACATGTTATTTCTGTATTAACCAATCACATTGCGTAACGTTGACAGTAAACGTTGACTTTTAGCATCAGCAGTGGAAGTTTACGCAAAATAACGAGCGTACGACTGTGATTGCTTCTAGAAGGCAAAGTACTGGAAATGAACAAAACAGCGAAGTCGGTACGTATGAAGTTATAACTTGGGATATTTTTTCCTTTTCTTCACTCTGTGTCTTGTGATGCCTTGCCTTTTTGTAAATATTGCGATAAAGATCTTAAGACCTTGTTAGGGTGATTCCGTGATGGTTGATTCATATTGGACTAGCAAAAGAAATAGTTCACTTGAACTGAAAGGGTCAAGAAACATAAATTGTTTGAACAGTCTCTTGAACTCGTTCACTTCTTTTTTAACTATTTGAACACTACAACTACATAATTTAGAGTAGCTTTCTTTATCTTTAGAACAATGAATCCTGAGAAGCTTGTATAGTTACGTAAAACACCCGTTCTTTTCTGACAGTAATCGCTACGCATTCCTTGGTTTAAAGTTGAATGAATGGCGCTGAAACTTCTAAGTATTACATTTTAAAACGATTTTTCTTTCATGCGTTTGTTCAAGGTTTCAACTGTACCCGATGGACACGAAATTATCAATCGGGTCTTCATCGGAGGACTTGCTCGTGATGTAAGTTGAGCATATTTCTAGAACATTCTCCAGAAGTGTTATTTACTTTTATGGTTCCACTGGAAGTATCCGATCTTAAAGATCTCGCGTTTATCATTCGAATGATGGTGTAGTTGTTTTCAGTTGCGAACGCATAATCGTAAGGTACATTTCGAAGTTCATTCTGCCCAGTTCAGTTGTGCATACTATTGCAAAGCAGAGTTTAAGCTTAACGTCATTTCCTTCAGATAAAGAACTGCACATGTTTGTATTTTTTTTTGTTTGTTTGTTTGTCTGTTTGTTCTTTGTTTGTTTGTTTGTTCTATCTCATTTGTTACGAATTGAAGTTGTGTTAGAAGTGGCCATTTCGCCCCCTTGTCGTACACCTGTTCACGTAGTGAACTGTAAACAGACTTTTTGCTCATTTTATTTGCATCGAAAGATTATTATAACATATTTAACATTGAAGTGAAACGCAACAGTATCGAATTTAGATGTTTTTCGAAATATTTTTCAGCTATTCTGACAAAATTAAGTAAGTAAAGGCGTTGTCGATCGGCGGCCTTGAAGGCACAAATAGGTAGTCTTCTGGAGAGATGTAATTACAACTTTGGTTGTAGAAACTGATTTGGTATATTTGTGGAATAAAATAGCTGCGACAATTCTTGCTTATTATCAATTTAGCCAAAATTTCAAGCTATGTCTGTGGCTCAGTCTGACAAACCAGTTTTTTTTTCCTCTAACAGACAAGCGAGTTGGAACTCGAGAATTTCTTTAGTACGTTTGGTGAAGTGACGGATGTTCGCATTGTCTGCGATAGGAAAACTGGCTTCAATAAAGGGTAAGTTAATTCAAGTGAAGAACTAAATTTTCCAAACAGGAAGTTCCACTCAGTTATTTTTTCTGTCAACCATGAATATGCAAAGGAGAGAAGACGTTACAGCGAGAACGATCCCAAGCTCTCGGTTCATCGCGCCACCACCGGTAACTCTTCGACCTATCAGGGGAGTCGGGTCGTCAGCAAGGCGCCTTAAGATACATCAAGACATTGCGATAACGGCGCCGTCGAAGAAACGTTGGAAAAAAGACCTGTCTTTCAGTTGCTTGAACCAAAAATTTCTCTAGTGGCTATAACTATGTTCAACGTGGCTGTGACAGCGTTAGAGATATCCTCGGCAGAATAGTTCAAAGAAATGATTCACCTTTTAATCAAGAAACTCAAAATTTGGCCGTCAAATTAATTTAGCTTATGACTCAGAAAGAAATATACACTGTGGTTTTGATGTGCGTGCAATGCCACAGTTGGGCCAGTTGTTAATTTCGGCTGTTTCGTCATCGTCTCTGTTTGCCTGTAACTTGGGAGGCCTTTTCTTTTTCACGTAGGGTCAGCAATTTAGCGAAGGTTCGCTCTTTTAAAAACAGGCGTAGAAGCCCCAATATGTGAACTGGACATGGCATTTAGCCTTTGAAATAAATGACTTCTGTTACATTTCAATGTTGAAACCGGTATCCGTGACTCTGTCGATTGTGTTTCTTCCAGTGGCACGGAAATTTTTCTTTTCTTAACCTAACGTTCTCTCTCTCAAGTTTTTAGGATTACATACGTCTGTAGTTTTGAAGATGTATTTTTTTGTCTTTCGCAGTTACGGTTTTGTTACATTCAACACAACGAAAGCTAGAGATGATCTCATTGAAAAGGTATCTTTATATCTGTTTTTAGTTAGTTAGCCAGATCTAACTGAAGGTCTATAATATTTGAAACAGATGCCGAACTTACAAGTATTATTCAAAGAAGGAAAAAAAATAAGCTTTAACCCTTTCACTCCCACAAATGACCAAGACAGAATTTCTCCTTACAATATCAATACAATATCAAGCAGGCAGGTGATGAGAATAGAGAAGAATATCAATTATGGGATTATTATTTGATCCAATACCAAATTCTCTGAACTAACATCATAAGAATTGTATGGCAGATAGTAAGGAGAATTACTAATTAGATCTTGGGAGTGAAAGGGTTAAAATTTAAAGAAAACATGACCAGGATCACTCAGAGACTTGGAACAGACCACACTCACCACAACTTCTGCAGGTAGTTGTAGAAGTCTTTGAGTGGTTATGATCATCTAGGACTTGATATATTTTTTTGGAAAATTTTTAGAGATTATTTAATGGTCTTTGATGGAGTAAATGTCTTTCATGATTGATCTGAATAGCTTCTAAGTCCCAGATCTGAGCTTAGTATTCTACAGTAAAATGACAACAGCTGTGTATTATTTGGAGCTCACAACATGAATCACATGCTACTTACAGTCCCTAAATGCAAGGGGTCTGGATCCTAACATATTACCAGCCGCAAAACTAATGGAGATAGCGGTTGGTTATGTTAGTTGTGTAGAATTGACTCCTGACTGTGCAAGTCCAAAGCACACAGCAGCATATATGAAATCACAGTGTACTGAGGGGTAGATATCAATTTTGTGTTTGATATAACAATATTATCCAGTAATCTCTACCAATTTAGGGAACAATTGATTACAAGGGTGGAAGGAAACTGCGCCTCCGAAAAGCAGTGAAAAAAGAGGTAAGAATCAACTCAATACATGGGACTGGCCCCAATATTAAAGAAAAAACAAGAGTCAGTTTTTGGTTTAAGCTCCTTTCCCTCTCAAGTGCAAATTATTTAGATGACAATTGTTTTTTGTTAAATTAAAGGGGTTCTCCCTTGAGTACCAGAACAATGTTACAACATCTCCTTGATTTCTGAACTGTGTAATATGATGTTCGATAAAAATGTTTTATTTTTTAGACAGGGGGACAGTTCTTTTCCACAGGATCCAGTAATCAAATAGGTTAGTTCGGGTTGCACATGGTGTAGATGCAAAAATTACAGTGATCACAATGGATACTTTTTGGTCCCAAGTTGTCAATCACTCACTTCATGTGTTTTTTGGCATTTATTACAAAACAATTTAGAGTGTTAAGTCATGAGGCTATTTTAACACAGGAGAAAAAAAAAAGTACTCTATTCCTTTAATGAAAGATATCCTGTTTTCCAATTTTAATCATAGAAAGTGTGATGTCAGAACATTACTGTGCTTACAAGAAGAAAAAGAAGCTACAAATTATGAAAATGAACATTTGGAGAATAATTTTGTATAGTACATCAACATAGCTTCATTAAATTTTGACTGAGGCATTATGTTTTGATTTCTTATTCAGGGACACAACCACAACAACTGGTTCTTGTGCCTGTAGAGCCAAACATGAACATGAATATGCCTCCCTTGATAAATTGCAATGCGGTTAGTTCAAATTCCGTTGTATGGCACAATGCACCAATTATGGAAGCCTTAGTTATCAAACTTAATCACTATTAGAGACTTTTTGGCTGTTGGTGCTAATACTTATTTATTTTATTCCTCTTTTGTCTTATTACTAACCATTGTTATCATTTTAGTTTTACAAATAATTAAGCCATGTAATCCAGAAAAGAAATTTGTGTAATGTTATTTCACTCAACAATATTGTTTGGAATTAATTAACTTTCAGCCTCTTGTTTGTTCAATGCATTGATGAATTCAGTGAAGTTTAGAATGAAATGTTTGTTGAAACTGAAAAAAGGGTGCCAATTTGTTTTGTAAGGCATATCAAAGATGGGTGAAAATATGTTTATTCTTCATGACTTGTGTCAATGCCATTCAACAAAGACTTCACATTTTCTTTAGAGAATGCCTTAGACACATTCATTCACATCCTATTCATTTCATGATTAGGTATACAATCATCCAATTCAGCAGCCCATCAATTATGTGGTATGTAGTGTTGAAATACAACAGTGTTCCCTAAATATTGGCAATGAATATGTTAGAATGTTTTCAGTTTGGTTTATATGCAAACCTTCCAATGGTTAGTAAAAAATATCATAATTGTATTTATATGTATATAAATTTTTTTGTTTTTCAGGCACCCCAGTATACCGTGCCAAGCACAACCCAATATACTGTACCAGCATTTTATTATTACTGTTATTAAAATGGTTAGTATTGGTATGGCAGTTTGTCTTAATTCCTCAGTTACATAGTTTTACATCACTTGGTAATTAAGAGGTGTTTTGGGGAGGCTGTGTGTTTTACTCTAAGAATTAGAAAAAGTAATTTGTTCTAGTTCCTTTCATGCATGAAGAGGTTAAATATCGGGTTCAAAAATGGTCTTGTCACTAGAACATAAGCTTTGTGGGTATAACATTGCAAGGGAGCATCTCGGCACAGATATCTAGTGGGTTATGGTGCAGTGGGGAAATATTTAAAGTGTTCTGTGGATTCTCTGTAAACTAGCAGATTAAGCTAAGCAGAAACTCCTCTTTATATGAATTGTCTAATATCCTATGACTTGTAAGCATCCTTTCTTTGAAGCAATTACACCTCATGTCTCATGTCCATTTAATTTACAGTTGTGCTTGGTTGCCGAGCCTTTGAATAGGAGTGAGGCTAAGGTTGACCTTGTTTTGATACAAACCTTGCTGCTTTTCAAATGCAAATTGCTTTGTTATCATGCCAACTAGATACTGGTCTCTATCATGGTAAGGTCACCTTCAGCCTCACTCCAAATCAGAGGCTCGGCAGCTAAGTACACAGCTGTAAAATGGCCAATGTGTTAATTCAACCACATTTTGCATTTTTAGGTGACTAATGATCCCTGACCGTTTTAGCTCTATGAGCTACATGAATGTCCAGTGTCAAGACTTATTTTTGTTCAAAGTGAATGATGTGTGGCTGCATTAAACAGTGGTTGAAACATGACTGAAAGCTATCGCATGTTATGTAGCTGTTTATTCCTTTCTGAGGGGTGGACGGCTACTGATTAAGTGTGATAACAATTATTTTAGTATTGCCAGAGATTTATACACCTTCTTTTAACCGATATATATATTTTCAGGCATAAGACAGCTTTTTACTTTCAACACAAACATTTTTATCTGTATTTACGGTTTTCTTTTGGTTTGAGTGATGATCATTTTAACTGCAATTAACTAAGGGAAAAATCTGAAGTGCAAGCCCAATTGCCATATAGCCTTATAATCAAGAGCAATTTTTTTTTTCATTCATATTTTTAGAATAAAATCTACATTCTTCTGGAAGGGAAGTTTCAAAACTTTTCATCTTTTGCTCTCAGGATTATTCACCGACATTTACGTAAAATATCAGAGATTTATACACCTTCTTTTAACAGATATATATTTTCAGGCACAAGATATAGCTTTTTACTTTCAACACAAAATTTTAAATCCTTTTTTATGGTTTTCCTTTTTGATGCAAATAATAATCATTTTAACAGCACTTAACCAATGCAAAAATCTGAAATATAAGTCCTCACTTGTGAGGAGAAAATTTTAATTTCCCATCACTAGGTATTCAATTTTCTTGAGTAACTAAATCTGGTCATCTGGATGAAATTCCTTGTGGTTCTTCCTTGGGCAGAGTTGATTTCCCCCCATTCAGTCAAGGCCTGCCTGTAAACCTCCTGTGAAGGAATTTGGGAGGGGTGTGAGATCGTTTCCACAACAAGGGCAGGTAATAAAGTCTTAGTTGTTGCCTTAAGTAGGTATTCTTTAAAAAAATTCTGGTAAGCTGTGTAATTCAGATCAATGGTGATTTGCATAATACACTAGTTGTACAGAGCTTAAGTGTTGTGTTTTCTTCAGATGTCTGAAGCTATTCATAGATGCAAAATTGAATAATTATTTCTTAGATTTGTATGCAATCTGGTATTTGTAAACTGCTTGCTGTTGATTGTGATTGCTGGGTTAATCATGTTGACTTGTATTTGCATTTTTCATTCAATCCAAGAAAATTTAGATAAATTTTGAAGATTTGTATTTGTTTTTTTTTTTAAACTTTAAGCCTCCAACATAATTTATTATATAGATTTGTATGTGAATTTGCTATTGCTGCTTGCTGTTAACCCTTTATCTTCCAGAAATGATCAACATGTAACTTCTCGTTATATTTATACATCATCAGCAAATAGGCAACGAGAATACTTAGTTACTTGATAGAAGTTGTCATCTTGATATAACCCCAAAGTCTTGCAACTAATATACAAGGAAATGTGGAACAGAATTAGATCTTAGGAGTTGAGGGGTTAATTGTGATATTGCAGCAGGTTAGAACTGATTGATTAGATTTGTTTAGGAATTCAGAATCTGTAACATTGCTGATTTTCAATTGTGATTGCTGGCTTCATCGTGTTGACTTGTATTTGCATTTTTCATTCGCTTGAAGTAATTTTAGTCACAGATTTTTGAAGAATTATATATTTTTACTATTTAGCATCTAACATATATAACATTGCTTTTATCCATTTTAAACCCATTTTATATCTGTAATGTTTACAAAATCTTCATTAAAGGACGGTATTTTGACAGTGGTACGTGTCGAAGCATTGTGCATTTGTGTGATCTGCTTTCAAAGTAGGGCGTCAAGGATAACGAAGGAATGCCTTCATGGGTTTTTTCCAGAAAGGGAAGAACAGTGGATTCTTTTTTCTGCTCAAAGAAGTCACAGAGACTCTTAGCATCCTATTATAGTCCAAGGTTTTCAACTCCACTTAACTATTCGGTGTTGCATTCAGTATTCCATAACCAGCTCGAATAACTATGGTATGGTGAATGAGGCTTTTCCCTCAGACAACACCGAAGAGTGCTTTTACTTACGGCACCAAAGAACACTAAAAAGAGAACTTTAAGGCAGGAGGGTAAGACAAATTTTACTTTCGAAGTAATAGATCGGAGCAACTGCAGAATACCCGGCCACTCATTTACATGTCATTGAATAAAAATACCGTCTATTGTGTTATGTCTCGATCTTTAAAGCCTCCCGGAACATGTAAGTGAGGCGGAACAAAGTGGCCGGGTATTCTGCAGTTTAGCAAATAGGAATTTCATACCTTAAAGAAAACTCACTGAGTTTTTGCTTAAACCCTTGTTCATAGCGTGAAATACAACACCACCCGTTGGAGAAGTCGTGTTCGTTCGTGTTACGAGCTTGGGGTAACTGTGGTTCAGATAGAGGAGTAACGCAGTTACAAACAAAGGTAATCTCTAAAAGGTCACACAAGAATAGCTTTGAACTAAAGCAGAATTCGAGAAAGCCAGGTTAACTCTTGAGAGAGGAGAGAGTTCACCCGTGAGTAAGAGCCACGATTGGATCTTGACTTTGTCTATCTATAGAGTATTTTCTACGCCTTTTTCTAAATATTCGTGTTTCGGGTTCATATTGTTAGGAATTCGGCCACGTTGCGAAAATGAACGTGCTGTGGGCAATCATTTGGCTTCTTTGTCTCTGGTTTCTCGCTTGGCCTATTGGATTTTTTTGCGCTGGTTGGTACGTGTGCCTTTCACCATTTGAAGCTTGCATCGATGCCATGAAAGGAATTACAGAGTTTTTAATGCGTGGCGTCAAATTACCGCTTGAAGTGGCCCAACACATGGTCGAAGGAAAGCAAGGCTGGTAGTTGGAGCTCGATGCCCCCCCTAGTTTAGAGTTTATCTTTGTGGAGTATAATATATGTAAGAGAAGATGCACCTATGGGACGTTAGAACGATAGTATATGTAAATGCTTGATATCTACATTCGCTGATGTAACAACTGCAGTGCTTTGAAAGGACACCGGTATGGGAATGATACACTCGTGTTTCCTGAAACCAATCAAATTATCTCAAGTGTATCACTGTAATGAATTTATCTTCAAAAGCCTACTGCAAACTTTTGTAGCTTTTAACTCTTCAATCTTAATGAGATTATCTGGACTAAAACAGAGCTTTATATCACCATCTCATTCGTATTTTTTTGCATGAGTGGCGTAGCTTCTGAATAAAATTTACACAAAGACAACAGTTTTCGGACGCGTTCAAATTTAAATTGTAATAACTTCGTTCGTTTCCACCGATCTTTTGCTTTTATTTTTCTTAAGCATTTCCAAGGAATTTTTTTTATTACCTTAATATAATTTAATCGAAATATTTAATCCTGTAATGGCAGGTTGAAGCCTTTTTACGAACAAAGCTAACTACGAAAGACTGTTTACTCGTCAAAGCGATATGCAAATTGTTCTGATCATTTGGAGGTTTCGTTTATCCTTCCAGTCCAAGTAATCATTTTATAAATGAAAAAATCTCATTATCGATGTTTATTCGACCTTTTTTTAACCTTGCAAGCGGTAACGAATTAAATGAGCTAAGATATTTCGTAAATGTAAGCTAATAATTTAAATTTTATTCCTTCTGCGGTCACGTTTCCTTCACGAGTATACACATGTCACGCAAGCTTTATGGAACGAGAACTGCAAATGACGAGGCAGGCGGCAGTGTGAAGTTACCATGGTAGAAAAAGTGATCATTTGAGACTTTTTCAAAGGCGTTTCAGGTTTTATTTTGTCATCCTATTCATTGAAATATTATTGACTGAGACATAATATCAGCTTAGCAAGTTACTAATAGCAGAAGCCCTTGACAATCAGATGGTCAGAGAGGTAAATTGAAAACGTATAACAGTATTCAAACTCGAAAGAGATAACTTTTGATGTCTCTTTGCAACTTTCAGAGGATTGTTTCTTCCGCGAGGGCATGCCCAATCCTTCACACTTCCGGGATTTGTCTCGAAACTGAAATTTTATCTTTGTTTTTGGAGGGAGGCAGGCTTCTTTCGGATGTTTATTCCTTTTTCGAATTATTTTTCAGAGTCAATTGAGGAACACGAACTTCGTGCAAAGACAATTCTGCGAAATAACTTTATTGGCAACTGCACGAGAGTAAAAATTTCGGATTAAAAAATTCGGATCGCAAAATAACGCAAAAATAAGAGAAAACAAACAAACAAACTCGAAAATTTAAAGTGAAAAAAAGGAAATCGATTACCCAGCCTCCCGTCTTATAACTTTCTTATGGTCCGTTCCGTGACGGAAATCGATACAGCATGCGCGTGTCATAGGCAGCCAGTAATCATATGACGATGCTCTCTACGAACATCTTAAAACTGGTAAAACTATTGCAATTCATATTCAAGAAATACTGAGCTTGTATAAGGCCAAAATGGATATGCATAACCTACTCAAAGTCCGTTGCTGTACGCAGTCATGCAGGCATTAAAGTCGTTGCGTTACCGTATGATGCTGTATGTTGGGATGATGACGGACAGCACAACTCGTGACTCGCGTAAGTCCCAGGTGAAGCGGAAGGCAGGCGAATTGTTAGTCGCTGAAAAACTAAAACTTTCTGAGTGAGACCGATTCCTTTCATTCTTTGCGGGATGTTCATGTTTTGATTTATCGACTCACCAACTGCAAGAGGAGGTGGGTTAATTTTTGATTGTTTTTTTTTTATTTTTAATCTTCACCATTCCAATGCAACCGAAGGAGATGGCAGTTACAAAACACTACAATCACAAATTACACAGAGCGGTTACGAACCATAATGAAAAACCATAAGCGAGGAAATGATCTTTGAACTGATGGTTTAAAACGACAAATTACATTCGCTTATGGCGCAGTCTACTTTAGATAAGATTACAAAATTTCATAACAGAACCACAGGCAGACAACCCTGTGGGTCGTCACTTATTTGATACGTTAGTTGAACTCTTACATTGTTTGTAATTTGCAACCGTCGATCTCGGCTAGACGGTAGTGATCCCGATAAATGTTTCATAAATACCGCAAATCGAAACATTTCATCCCCAAAATGACAGTCAGATAAATAAAGTTTACTTACCTTCGTTTTTCTTTGTCGTCTCGAGTGATTTTGCGGGGTTTTGGGACGGTTGGTTCCCCACTTTGCACTGATGCCCTTCCAAAGGCAAAGGAAAAACACAAGGCGTGCAACTTCCAGGACCGTCTGGGCCGAAAGCCTCCAGAACTTCGCCGAATTTCTTCCGCTTCCAAATGTCGCTCACCTCCCTCACCTCAACTTCGGGCACGTTAAATTCGGTAAACGTGTTAGAGCCAAGCCAAAAATCAGTGCAATTGCACGCCTCTAACCACCTAAAAAGCCTTCTCGATTTTCGACATCCGGAAGCGGGGGAATTGGGAAGGGGAAAATCTTCATTCCCCTACCCTCACCCTCTCCTTATTTTTGACCGTCGACCGCCCCCTCGGTACAAATTGATTTCTCTCCCCAGCCTTAAGCTGCCATTAAAATTAAAGATGACGGCCATAATTTTCGTTATGAAATTACTGAGCACTCGCTCACCAAAATTACGCCTGCTCTACAGGCTAACCCACATCTAACCCATGAGAACTGTTAATGAATTTATAATCATGGTAATTAAAGAGCTTAACTGCGGTTAAATCCTTAGTGAAGACCCTGCGATTGGGAAATTGCGTGTATGTCTCAAATTGCCTTGCTGAGCCGTCAAAAATGTGAGAAATTAAAAGGAAATATCTGGAATGATAACAGTAAACGATTTTCTCCCATGCAGGAGGGAAACTCCTCGATCGGAGGACGTCCACTGAGCCTAGACAAGACAAGTAACTCAATTACAGCGCAGGCTGAGCCGATTTGAAACAGTTTAACAATCAATTCTTACATAGTTTGTAATGGATGGAAAGAAGATTCTTTGGGGGATCGTCTGGTTCTTTTTCCTAATCTTGATAGCCTGGCCAATAGGATTCTTTTGTGCTGGTTGGTACGTGTGCTTGTCCCCATTTGAGGCGTGCATCGATGGAATGAAGAGCTTGACAGCGTTACTGATGAAAGGCGTGACTCTACCATTTGACATCACGCATCGCATAATTAAAGGCCAAAGTTATTCGAAGATTTGATCATTTATTGAAATGAGATAACGATAAAAAAAAAATGGTATTTACGTAATTGGAAGAATTTTGCGGGATGGCTACGAGATATTGAATTAAGTAAAGAAGAAAAATTGTATTTGTAGCAAAGAACACCTAGTGCTCTAAGCTCTAGACTCACGCTATTTTTACTCCTGTCACTTGTAACTTTAGTTACCCCTCGCTTGTGCACATTCTAGTGGCACCAGTGCTAATAATTCTCTTTATCGGAAGAAGTTGTTTGAAACCTGATTCACCTTAACTGGGAATTGCCACTTAACTTCGTGAAAAACCCTTACCTCACCATGGCATTTAGATGTGGATTACAATCCCTTTATTTGTAACAAAGTCTAATTGAATTTGAAAAGGTTCTTATTAAAAATAGAAAGATAAAAAGAAAAGAGTATAGTCAGGTGATCATGTTAGCGTCGAACCAGGATTTGCAGGCGAGGATGGGGCGAGGGGGAAGGCGGGAAGAAAAATAGCAAAAAGCGAGAAAAGGCGTTTCACTCGCGACTAGTACTAGCTCGGCCGTTCAAACCGAAACCTGCTCATGGGCGAGCGTCGAACGATTCTACTTGGATAGACTCCATCTATGTAATATATGTGTCTGCCCTATAGAATTACAGAGAAAGGCCAGGGTTCTTTAGGGCGAACACCTCTACCCCAGTTCCAGGACACTGAAATTATGTATAAACCATGATTTCTTGGAATTAGCTTTTGAACTGAAAAAAGATTTGCTGACGCAGTAGAGTTTTGCGATTAAATAAAGGCGAATACTCTTTGGTACCGGTGGTAAGCGTTAGTTTCGGCTCCTTAGAACCTTATCAAAGGTCCCCAAATTTTTAGAGAATTTTGGCTGTGTTCCAGTAGAATTCTGGTTGTGTTACAATAAAATTTATAGAATTTACCTGGTAATGGTAGCTTTATTTATACACGGTAAATCCTTCAGCAAATATTATAAAATGATACAAGATCAACTAATAATCCTTAACTAAATTAACTAGCCTAAACTACATACTAAAAGCTGCTTTACGAGGATGCCGTGCTAAAAATCATTCAAAACTGTGGTGACGTATTTTAAGTTTAAAATCATGTAAAGATGTTGCTGCACCAAGGTCACCAAGTAGGCCGTTCCACAACCTGGCTCCGCTATAAGAGAAACTCTTCTTCAAATAATTGGTGCGGGGCTGCGGAGGAGCCAACTTCTTTTCAGTATTCCTTTATCGATATGATGTTATGTCGTTCCGAAACACAAATGTAGAACTCAGATACTCAGGGGTCATCCCATGTAAAGATTTGTGCATCATAACAGCAGCTGATTCAAATCTTTGATATTTGAGTTTACGCCAACCCAGTACCCAGAACAATTCATCGATATCAGAGTTATAATTGGCGCACATCAAAATACAGGCTGCATGATTTTGGAGCTTCTGAAGCTTTTCGGAGAGACCACTGCCACAGTCACCCTAGACAACACTACAATAATTAACATATGGCTGAACTAGGCTATCATATACATTAATTAATATATTAAACGGTATAAGATGTCGTATTCGCTTGATTGCGCCCAATGCAGAAGCAATCTTTTCGCAAATGTTCTGTATATGACATCATCAGTTCATATTTTGATCGATGTGCACACCAAGAGATTTCGTAGATGACACCTGCTGTACCGGATGGTCATTTCTACTGAAAGAAGGAATTTCAGGAAATGTTGATAACTTTTGTCTCGACGCGACTAGCATGAACTCAGTTTTTGTTAAATTCAAGGTCAATTTATTGGCCGACAGCCATTTATATACCCTGTTTAAATCATAGTTAAGACAGTCGTCAATATGTTTTAAATCTACGCTAGCGAAGGTGAGGCTGGTGTCATCCGCATACATTCTAGGTTTTAAAAAATACAGACAATCTGGCAGGTCATTAATATATAATAGAGGAAGTAAAGGTCCTAGAATTGTTCCCTGGGGGACACCACATTTGACTAATTTTGGAGTAGACATAAAGGAGTTCATTAGACAAGTTTGTGTGCGATTGCTTAAATATAATGCAAACCATTTGTGACAAAAACCGCGTATTCCATAGGATTGCAATTTTGTTAATAGAATATTGACGGTGTCGAAAGCCTTTTTTAAATCTAGAAAAACAACGACATTGACAAAACCGCGATCAATATTCATAGCCCAACTATCCGTAGCTTGGAGTAACGCAGTAACCGCAGAATGTAGAGAACGAAATCCGGATTGATAACGAGAGAGAATACAGTTTTCACTAAGATGGAGGTATAACTGGTCATGCACTACCCGTTCAAATATTTTAGCCATGACTGGGATTACTGATATTGGTCGATAGTTTGTGGGATCATTGCGTTTTCCAGAATTTTTATACAATGGGTCTCTATAGGGCTTTGCAGTATTCTTATGGGGGGGGG